ACATCGGGATCCAACTCTCATAGCTTAAGTGCACTCATTCTTTATCAGAAAAAAAGTCAGACAGAGTAACTTTGATGAAAATGTTTCGTATATTGCATAATACAATTTAATGATAACGAAAGGTATTTGTTTCCACTCCTGTGACGCTGATATAGCGACATGAACAGGTTCCGAGATGATTTTAAAAACATAAAAAATAAGTAATATTGAATTGAATACAAGTACATATCAGATTGAAAACAGGAAATTTGTCATAAATAGCCTAGTACATGTATAATTACTTTTCTCAGGATAGTTAATCTCTAAACTTTTCCTGTACCAAGATAATAATTTTTAACAATTGCTGCATTTAGGTATGTTTATATGTACACGTACATTTCCGTAAGATATACATGTACATGTGTCAAGAAGGTTTCATTTGATAAGCTTTTGCGATTTCTTTTTTACTAATATGTTCTACGGTGCGACCGTTGGGGCGAGCGCAGTTATTTACTTTCAAAAACATTTACACAACATTGACTTGAACTGCCTATCTTCAGTTCATTAAAAATGAAGAAAAATCACTTCCCAGGCATCGGGATCGAGATTCCGAACTTTTCGGAAGTTTCCGACAAAATCGGAAATATCCGAGCCGTTAAGTGACGAAAGTATGACGTCAAATAAAAAAGTCCTTTTGAGTTAGAACGCAAACGATAGTTTTGTGGCATGGAGATTGCATTAAATCGTTGTTTGTAATTTTTTTTCAAGTAAGCTGTTGCTATGTTTTAGCCACCATGTTGCTATGCATCGCAAAGGATTATTAGGATTGAAGAATGTTTTCACGTGGACTCATCAAAATTTCTTGGAACAATGTGCAGATTTCAAACTGAATTTCCTCCGTTCGTACACGTTAGTCCATTTAGCTCGCTATTACTTCTCATGACCCTCTCGCCTTTCCAAAAGTGCTTCTTGCCCCCCCCCCCCCCCCCCTCCTCCCTATATAGCAATCTCTCTACTACTGGCAGTTTAATTACTTACATGCATATGGGTTAGTCGATTAAAAATAAGTATGCTCTACGTACCAAAATTTCTAAAACTAGCTTTTGACAAAGACATTGATAAACCAAGATCAAAAGTTTTGATTTTAAGTTATCATTTCTTGGCCTTTATGGTCATTGCAATGACTTTGTCAGCAAATACAATCTATCATTAACTCAAATTCCGATAGATATTTCTCTGTGTGATTTTAAGCTCATTATTTACACATTGATTTGCATACAGATATTTCCCTTTCAGTGAGCAAACGACTGGTATAATCAGTCGGTAGAGAATGCTCAGTCCTCTATGGCACCTTATCAATCCTCCTTCGTTTGCTCAGCTCCTGATTTGTATTGTTTGATAGGAAAAATGAGATTGATTTTTGTTTGTTATCTACTTATTTCGATTCACCACAATACATGAATTTGACGTGGTTTAGGGTTTTACTTTAATATTTTACATAGAAAAATATAAGAAAGCATCCCGATATAATCAGTGGACATTTAGTATAACAGATGAACCTTAAAAATCTACGCACTTTATATTAAATACAATAAAAAAAACAAAACCTGCCGAAGTATGATCCACCTATTATGATCTATGATCAATACATGTCTGACACATTAACATTGTGAAATACAATAACATGTAAAAGTGTTGCATTTGTATTCATTTTTTTTGATAATTATAATTCTTACTTTAAACATGTTAAGCATATTGTGAATAGAGAAAGAGTCTGACTTTTAAAGGATGAAAAATAATAGAACGTTTAATTAATAAACATTTTTAAATTTTAGTTTGATTTTCTTTAATATATTATTGCAAAAATAATTTTCTAATTTCGGTTTGTTAAAAGGAAGTTTAAATGTACAGTGATACAGCTGTATCGCTTTTATCATTATGGCATTCGTTCAAGTTTGCTCATATCAGAAAATCAATAATTAAAGGTCACGCCTTAAGTATCGATTTGTCACTCACGTTAAAAATTTTAATGCTTGCCCGGCATTTACTGGATCGATAGGAAGTTTTTGGTCAGAGCGTACGGAATTTTGAAGCTGTTAAAAAGAAAATAAAGACATGAGGTTATATGTTTTTTTTTTTTTTTTTTTTTTTTTTTTTTTTAAGATAAATAACGGTGTAAGAGTCATATTTCGACATTGGGGTGGATCAGGGAGATAACTCAATTTATTTCAGTATTAGATAGATGTAACTTGGATCATTATTTTACTATGATTTAACTATTAGGGAAGTTACCGCCTTTGTTGCCTGTTCCAGTAATTGCTCCATCGACTGATTATTATTTCAACTGTCTAATGAAATTAGCTATAAATTGACAATTACATTAGATATTAAAAAATGAGAGGAGGAAAAAAGTTTAAGTGGTCTGGAAAATTGATTCTATATATTAAGACCAAGTTTTCCTTACATTAACTTCTATTAAACGATCTTCATTGTTCGCAAGTTTTACAGGCTAACGTTTAAAAAAATCAGGTGAGCAAGATCTACAAAGAAACGATCATTATACACAAAAGTATGTTTCTGACCAAATGCCATAGTGTGGAAAAGGGGGTGGAGATAAGAATGTACATACGAGGGCTGTTCGGAAATTATTGAGACAATTACATTTACTCCATAAAGGACGTAGATAATTTTATGAAAATTCATCAACATTTTATAAAGAGCGAATTAAACTCTTATGCGAAATTTCTAATTTCTATGATAATAAGAAAATCCCACTGTGGGACGTGGAGACCGGTCCTTCGGATGAAACCGTATAAACCGAGGCCCCTTGTCGCAATAGGTGTTGGCACGAAAAAGATCCCTCACTGCTCAAAGGCCCTGAGTGCCGAGCATAGGTCAAAATTTGTAGACCTCCACCGGCAAGTGGTGGCGTCTCCAGATGAGTGAAAAATTCTCGAAAGGGACGTTAAACAACATACAATCAAACAATAAGAAAAGTTTCGATGAAATGATAAACATGCATTTGTCAATCGACCCGAAGCAGCATCACTACGTCATTTAACGTCACGTCAGCCGGAGATGGTTTCGCATGTAAAATGATCGAGAAGCGTTTAATACTTTTCCTTCTTTTTAAATAGTTAATTACATATAACGTACAAAAATTAAACTGTCTCTTTTCTTAGATTATTCCTTAAAAATGTGTATGTTGTTGCTACCCGTGTGTAAAATTTTCATTTGTGGAAAAAAGTTTACTTAAAATCATGCAGTGCCGATTTATGCAACTCAGGTCAACGACGTTAATACCGTAACAATATTTCCGCCGTACGTTATAACTGATGGTCGTCCGGAGCTTTTGATTTTACTTTGGTTGAATTAATTGTAAAAAAAAATGTAAACCAATGAAATAACAAACTCTAACACATTATTTTTTCTCATTGTTATTGTTTTAGCAGGTTCTTGAGTCACACAAAATTTTAGGTATTTCGCTGCTCCGCCCTCGACGTCAAAATCCATTTTTTCGTTCTAATCAGATTTCTCTACCGCGCCTAATTTTTTTCTGATCTCCGTATTACTGATCAAAGTTCTAACAAAGTTGCACAACATGAATTTGAATTAAAGCTGAAAAATTATACATATAAACAGCATTATTTTGCTCTTATTATGGGTCCACGAAAAGTTAGAATGTTGGTGTTACATATTTTCAATATCTGATTTCGAGACTGCTCAGGGTACCCCTACTGATGACGCATTTATATACCATTGTAGAGAAAATATTTAATATTTATAAAATATTTTTTGCTTTTATTAATTCTTAGTGTATGTCAAACGTATATGCAAATTTTCATCGAAAGACGTTCATTAGAAAGCAAAGTATACACAATGTCTCAGTAATTTTCGAACAGCCCTCGTATACTGTAGTTTTGCAAATATTGTCAACGACAATATGTATGTACCCGCACTACATAAATGGTCTTCCAATGGTATATGTACGAATAGCCTTTCTCATCATGCTTAATTTACGACAAAATGTACAGGGTAGTGTAAACATTTGCAATAGTGTCGGCGGTTAATTTGAAGCTGCTGGTTTCAATACGAAATGTAAATAGAACTCGAGAAAAATTGAAATGGTAACATTTCTCTAAACAAAATGTTGCATTAAATACTTCATTTAGTGGAGGGTTCAATGAGTATTTCAGATTTTCTACCCAAGGAATGATGAGGGGCGAACATTTTTCATCTTACCTTCAACTACATCCCTTATATTATTGATGTGTAATACTGAATGGTCTTTATAAATACATGTGACAATGAGGCATGCACGCATAAAGTCTTTGCAGTCAATACATTTGTGGAATATCATTGCAATGTTGTAAGGCGTAGTTTTATCATTAATGGTGTACAGTTATAGTTTACGATTTTCAACTGTAACTCGAGGGCTTCATGCGTTTAGTCGGATCTAAGAACAAAACTATTTCCATCATTCGGCCTAACGACCTCAGGCAAACAATCTGGTTTGAGGGGTGCAATAAAACTGAAAACAAGGTCAATAAATGTTTTAAACGTTTTGCATATTTTGTCATATCATGGTGTAAATTTTGACTAACTGCAGTGCAGTTCTGTAGAAATCCAACAAATGTCAAATAAGATATGGCTGACATCATCCACCATGTGATGTTATCGGACCAACATCTCATCGACAAGTCCACCATTTCACTCTGATATATCGATATATTTCATGCTCGGTCAGTGAAGCATTGAAAATGTTAAGCTTTCGTAGTATAAAATTATAAAGGACACAATTTTAAAGGTATTTGTAATAATTTTTAGAAAAGTGTAAGTATAATATATTATTTTATGCTTTTATGTTTATTCAAGATGGTTGGAACTATTTTTTTTAGAAAGAGTATAATAGTATCTTATTTATGAAGCAATGCCCCCACCGTGTAAAATGCTCATCTTGTTCACCACAATATGTTGAAGCCCAGGTAAGCTATGTATGTGAAGGCAATATAGATAACGATTGAGTGTACGGTGTATGTTTTACTGTGACTACCAGGATAAAATAAACAATAAGGTAAAGTAATAAGTTTTATAAATTACTTCCTTTATAATAGAATATAAACTTAGTAAAATCATTGGTACAAAGTGAAATCGAAACTAGCAAATATTTATAAAAGGGACTTATTTAGTGATAATTTTAATGCAGCATATTCATGTTAAAAATTTCTTTTCATATCTCTTTTAAACTATATATAATTAAAGTTGATAAAAACGAGAAACAACTGTTCCTTTGCCATGCGCTCGGCACTAAAAATTTAAAATTGCGGGTCCTTTGGACCAGACCTTAAGAACCGCGCGAGATCTCGTTTCACGGTAGGCCTTATCACGATAAAGATCCTTGAATGGTCAATGGCTCTGAGAGTCAAGAAAATGTCAAAGTTTGATACTCTTAACCAGTATATGGTAATGTCTCTGTATGAGAGAAAAATTTTCGAATGGGAAGTAAAAAAACAACATAAAATCTGCTAATCAGAATAGGCATTGATGAAGAATGTACCTAAATGCTGTCAAATTTCGTTGGAAAATCAAAACCGAGCCCAAAGGACATCATGTTAGTCACTATGTGGGTTTTTTGCCTATCGTGTCCATTCGTTTTCTTTATTTTTTCATTTTCCTTCACAGAACGTTGAAAAGGACCTCGCCTTTAATAAATTTTGCCTCCCCAATATCGAAAACTTGGCGACGCCCCTCTTCTGTTTTGAGTCAGTTCTTTATTATTTCCTCAGTAAACATGTTTTGTCAAGTTTCTTTTTGAATAAGCATAACAGAATATAATGGCTACTATTGTTACTCGGAATAAAATTAATAATAAATAGAGCATAACTTAAGGTATCCACCAGAACACAAGATATCTGATCTTCTTTCCTTTTAAAAATATAGTGCATATATTGGGTGTTTTCCTGTTTATCTGCCACTTCTATAGACAATGTAGTAAATTACTTTTACAACAGGCAAGATCCACATTTTTCAAATTGTCTTAAAATTTCTTATCTTCCTTTCTCAGAATTTTAAGTTATATTCATGGACATCTAAAGGCTCAGCATAGAATTTTTTTTTATGAGACAAAGTGCAGGTTTTTAATTGAAATTCTTGTCTTCTCAGTAGTGTTTAAAACTCATAAAGGTATCTGTAGGAAATTAAACCACGTTTTAGGATAAGTTTAATATGTGTACATATCCACTGTTTTTCCAGTGTACTTTTTCAATGTTCAGTATATATTGTTCCTTTATATTTATTTTGTTTGTACTGTCTAACATTGCGTGTGAAAATATCTTTATTTTTTATTAATTGTTACCGAGTTTCCGATTAAGGTCATTGTCATGGCAGGGTTAAGAAAAAAAAATGATTTTCACTTATAAAACAGTCATTGACTGTGATTGAGGTTGATCTCCGTTTTGAATTGTGGTAAAGACAAATGAAGCCTAATGATACAGAGGTTTTTTTCTAAACAGATGAAATCAACTCTATATAGCTCGAAAGAAAATCAATGATGTTTAATGGGACAGACTGTCAACAGGTTTTCATTTGCTATTACTGTGCAGGGAAGGGCAAATGTGACATATGGTGTAAGTGGTGAAAATTAGGTAGATCGAATTAATGCTGTTCAATTTAGGTCGTGTGAAGGAGACACCATTAAAAACTGTTCGTTCGAAAAAAATAAAATAATCTATGCAGATTTTTTTTTTATATATGACAATTTGTTTCCTTTAAAGTTAAATACACGATAAAACAATCAACAAGTCTGTGTTGCATTTCCAGTCAAATTAACCAAATTTCATCAAAAATGAGGAAACAACAATGTGTTTTATTCATAGCGTTTATAAAATAAATGGGTTTCAAGAAAAATGTTATAGTTAAAAAAAATGTAGTTTTTAATCAATATTTTATATTTGAAATGCACTAAATACTGCGAAAAAGAAATCGAGAAAATTTCAAAAAGGAATGCTGGATTGATGGGTAAAACGATCCAGAAAAAAACATGCTCGGTACCATCAAAAGTTCTTAAAATTTTATACGAATCCCAGAAATATTCCCAATACCTTATTTTTTTCATTTTTGATCGCTCCCATCGTTTTCTTTCTCTTTTTTTAGTCCCCTACCTGTAGGTTTCCTCTGAGTCTGCCAGTTCTTCTGTGTGACTCTCCGTCCCTCCGTCCGTCTTCCTCTTCTTCCGTCTGTCTGTCAGTCTGTCCTACTTGGTTTTTCGTACTTTTTTTCTAAAACCCTCCACATATTTAGCTGGCTTTTGGTGTGTGAGTGACCCTTGATAGGTTACAGATCAAGTTTGAATTTCGTTCCACTTCATTGATTTTTGACGGAATTATGGGATTGTAAATTTTTCATACTGTGGTTTCATTAATTTTCGTTGGCATCAATTTTCGTGGATTTTGTAAAACAGACGTTTTCGAGGATACGTAATCTTGTGGACAAAAGCATTATCTATACAAATGAATAACAAATTTCTTACTTCAATGAACATTTAAATTTGTGGACATATTAACAACGAAATCCTCGAAAATTGGTGCTCAACAACTATTAATGAAACCACAGTAATTGGGATTACGATCGAATTCATAATGCACTAAATTAAAGTTCCAAACAAGTTAGAATCCTATATAGAAAAAAGAGCAACCCAGTGGTGGACGTAATGTCTTGCTTATGCAGTACCCTCAGAATGCATGATGAACATATTTCCATATTTAAGTTAATATTTATTAGCTCTTCTGGTCGAAAACCAGAATAGCTTATGAAATAGTAATGCATCTGTCGTCCGTCCGTCTCTCTGTCTGTCTGTTTGTTAACTTTTTTTTCAAAATGTTGTGAAATACTTTTAAAATGTTACTCCTCCCACAGTTTTGGTCTGAATTCAAAATAACTTGGCACAAAAGTAGTGTACACTAAGATATATAAATTCTTTGTAACGGTTTTTTTAACTATGTTGCCGTGGTTTCTAAACATAGAAATTTTATAAAATGCTTTTAAAATGCTACTTTTACTTCAGATTTGGTCTATTTCAATATAACTTGGCACACAAGTAGACTACACTAATATACATAATTCTTTTTATCCTGCAACAACCCCTTGCATTGACCTAATAAAGATAACATAATAAATCAAACCTATATTCGACCAATGACCCAATAAAGCCTTGCCTTGTGGTCTGACATTCTAAACGCATTGTGACTTCATGAATAAACATGTAGCGATGTTTACGCCATGGCGTCTTAGTTTCAGCTGCAGAGATGTGTCTGAATCGCGTTGAAAATAGCTATTTTAAGAGGCCAGATGTACATATTTGCTGCAGGATAAACAAGATACATGGTAAATACTTGGGCTCGGGTCGTAAACGTGATCTTCCCGTCGCCTAGATATAGCTTATATTTCAAAACAGTAACCATGTATTTTATATGTATCGGCTTTTGATTTCGATGAAAAGTGTTGCGTTGGTAACTAAAAACAGAAATTTCTGTGAAATACTTCAAAATGCTATTCCAAATAGAGTTTTAGTCTGATTATTATATAATTTGGCATGTAAGTAGACTACACTTAGATGCATAATTATACGTTTTGAGTTGGTATTTTGATAAGTTATGTTGCCATGGTGACTAAAAGTTGAGAATTCCGTAAAATATTATCGAAAACTACTCCTACAATTAATGTCTTATAACAATCTTGCCACAAGAAGACCCTAACTCAAGGATCATTATTCTATTTATTGCTTTAGTAAAGTTTTGAATCATAGCTGCTACTTTTCTCTCCCTTTATCATAAGTACAAACCAGTAGAGCTACAATCTCGACAGGGACCTGGTACTTTTTAAGTTCCATTCTAAAGATCCTCTATGTGATTTCATTATATTCAGATGACCATAAAATGTCTTTGGTGTTTTTGAGCTATTAACTAAGAGCCATTTTCTGTAATGATTTTAGATTTTTTTAGCAGATTTAGAGAATTTCTTCAAACTTTCTTTGATATCATCAACTAAATTTAGTCAAAATTATGTTGCTATGTGTTGCAGTTACAATGGTAACATGTCTTAAATTTTGATAATTGCATTTCTAATATGTTAAGATTCCCATAATTAGCTTTTTCGGTAAAGTAAACAATTAACAATGTCTGTTGCCAAAAGATAAAGGCCTGGTGTTTTAAATACATGACAAACATATTTGATAAATCAACTTTTACATACTTTACTATGGTAAAAAAAAATAAAAAATAAAAAGTAAAAAAAAAATCATTAATTTTATATAATCTCATTAAGTCATACACGTAAAAATGAAACAGATAAATTCATAACATTTTCGTAACAGCATATTTGGGAAGAAGGTGTTATATTTTTTGTGACGTCGCGGGTTCGAATCCCACTGTGGGACGTGGAGACCGGTCCTTCGGATGAGACCATATGAACCGAGGTCCCGTGTCGCAGTAGGTGCTTGCACGAAAAAAGATCCCTCCCTTCTCAATGGCCCTTAGTGCCGAGTATAGGACAAAATTTGCAGCTCTCCATCGGCAAGTGGTGGCGTCTCCATATGAGTGAAAAATTCTCGAGAGGGACGTTAAACAATATACGATCAATCAATCTGTTTTATGAGAATTTGTTTGCTTGTCCCAGATTTAATCAATCTCAATAAAGATTCAAAGTAACTGGAAACCTCTATTTTTCAAACATTTCCGGCTGTTTCCAGGGCAACCAAGACACATAGCAAGGGAGTTTTGATATATGTTTTCGGCGTAAAATATTAGTTTCAATAAATCTGTTAACCACGAGTGACAACGAAGTTTAAGTGGTTATAGGGTATTTCTATTAAATAAATGCTAATTAAGTATTTTAAATTTTTCTTACAGTTGTTTGAAAAAAAATAAAAATGGAATGGTAGTAAAGATTCAACCTTATTTACGAACAAGCTTTGTTGTTCTATGTATGTTCTACATATGGACATTTTTTTAAAAACAATGTAAGTTATTGACAAACAAGTTGCTAAAACAAAAATATCAGCACTCTAGTTTAGGGTCATTATTATGTAAATATAAGTTCTATGGCCGATAAAATGACCATGTCAGCAAATGTATCATTAAGTCAAATGCTGACTTATATAATCATTTTTATACTTTTACTTATTATTAGGCCATTATTTAGAAACTGAATTGTTGACAGTTTTTCTCTATCAATCATGGCAGGGAGCACCCGTCGGCTGTGACCGGTCGGCAGGGGATACTCACTCCTCCATCGCAAGTGATCCCACCTTTGATGTTTGGTGGTCCGTGTTTGCTCTGCTCCTATTTTGTTTGCATTATCTAATGGGCTGAATACTGTTCGTTGTCTCCATATATTTCTTTTAAATCTTTTTCATTGCAGCAATATTTCGAATCTAATTGCACAAATGTCATTATTTTTTCTACGTTTTCATCAAAATTGTCAATAAAATACTGGCTCTTTGAGAACCAATTTCAAATCTTTAATGAAAAGTATGCATGATAGGTCACTTAGATATCACATTTAGTTTGGTTCGAAAATCCATGTGAAGCGATCTCTGAATGGTGATTAAAGCATTTGATTCCCATTTAATCGATTTTATTAATTATCGATTACTTATTCTTAAAGAATGTATGAAGAATTCTTACAGTGCAAAAAATGAACTAAATTATGAAGATTAAGAAGAGCAACCAAGTTTAAAAGTCCACTTTAACAACATACATTGTAAACTGTGAGCAAAACAAACTTGGTAATTTGAAAGCATCTCATGTTGAATACATATCTGGAATTTTATGAGGAAGCATCTGTTGACCCTTGTGCTTGTTTCCTGTGATTAAATTTGATTGAGAAACTGTAGAAATATGTAGTCAACTCAGCATGAAAGACTATGATACAGCAATTTGATTTAAAGAGGGAATCAATCTAGGAGCCAACATTGTTTTGTTTTTGCAAACAAGGTCCTTGTGTTTCCTAAATTTTCGGCAATGTTTTTTTTTTCTATTTGTAAAGAAATGAATTTGAACTAACATTGTACCTTGATGATTAAAAGAAAGAAATTGAAGTTAGAAGTTGAGGAAGTCGTAATTTCCTTAGGTTATCATATCAACCTGTTTTCTATATCATGATTTGCTTGATTAAATTTTACAATCTTCCATTTAATGTTGCAGATTTGAAGCATCCTCTCTCACTGCATGTACCTCTAAGAATCATTTGAGAAAATGATCTGTATCATCATAATTGTACTGGTAAGGTATTTTGTTAAATGTCTATAAGTTCATTTACTAGGGGTTATCAAAAAGTTCATGGACTGGCGCTATAAAATTAAAACCGCTTTAGGTACATCAATGAATTTTAAAATATCTGGTTAGCATCATCTTTTCTATCTACAGAATAAACTGCAGATCATAGATTTATTTTTTAAATAAATAAGTAATGTTTTTGTAAGCTATGGTATGTCCAGGCGGCGCAACCTCGAATTTGGCGTTTTTTCGACCAAAGCATAACTAAGAAAAACTCTTTTGATATGAACATTTGACATCAAAAATTCTGGTCAATTCAGGTATATGTTGGGACACTATTGTTTCATAAATGCAGTTTTCAAATCATTCTGAAAGTTCTATGAAAATTTATCGTAAATTTGACATGGAATGTCTAAGCAAATAAGTCCTCGAAAATGACGTCAAAAGGGGGGAGGGGTTTCATTTTCCAACATTCTATAAAGTTTTGGCCCTGAAAAAGTGGTATAGACCTAGGAAATGTTTAAACTGGCTATGGAGAAAATTAACACATCCAGAGTACTTGTTTTTTTAATACAAAAGAGGTTCTGAGAGAAAAGTGATGCACAGTTAATGTCAAGGTGTGAAAAATCATTCACGTCAAAAATGACGTTGATCATATGTTGTAGATATTAAACTCCCAAAAGCAAAATATGCTGGCACAATCAAGCGAGGATTTTTCCCAATGCATCAATGTATCAATCCATTTGCAATATTATATTCATTTAAAGCCGCTGTTTCTGACATTGTAAAGTCATAAAAAAAGACGGGTTTAAATCCTTACTCAACTCCAGGTAATCATGAAAAAGAATGACGTTGTGGGACGTCATGAAACTACACGGCGACGGCGCCGGGTAACCATATAATGTTTTTTTTAATTTTATCATATTTTAGCAAAAAATGAACGAATCAAGCTCAAATTTTCAACATTTCTTTAGTTTTTGTTGCTTTATGTCCCTTATTTATTTTGAAAGCACAGAATACATAGTGCTAATTTTATAGCCTCAGTCCACGCACTTTTTGATAACCCCTCGTATATCTTTAAAAAGTGGGTTTTGTTGTTCTTATTTTGATTGTCTAAGGTATATTGGAATTATTGAAAAAAAAACTCGACGATATAAATATGACAAATAGTGCAACTATTTTTCATTTTTCGGGTGTGATGGGGATGCCATTACTCATTGAGAAAATAAAATTCCGAGTCCCACATAAGCATACAAATTAAATAAAATAAATATGAGTAGAATCTTGATTAAAAGATTTTAATTAAATCTATTAATAGACCGATTGCAGTTTTTTGTTAACAGTAAAATATTTTTACATCTGTAATAGTGCAAGAAATATTTAACAAAGTTTGCATTCTTACCTATATACACGAAATAGTATGATACTTTTCCAAGATATGTCGTTTGACTTCTTGGGGCGATAGTAGTCTCAATGGAAATGTTATGGGCTTTTAGAGGTTGTGTTAGACTTATTCTTGTCTCCTGGTTTAAACATGTTTAATTTTCTTAATTGTATTAGCACCGAGTCTTCTGAGGGAACAGATCAATATAGCTTTTTGCTGTCTATCCTACAATGCCATGTACAAGTTGCTGTAACATATTATCATGAAACTATGTCCATAGGAAAATTGTTTTCATCCTCATTTTACCATTCTTTAAAAAATATCTGATGAACGTTAAAAAATGTGTTATACTCGACACTCAGGGCCATTTAGGAGGGAGGGACATTATTTGTGCCAGCACATTCGACACGGGACTGCTGTTTATACGGTCTCATATAAAGGATCAGTCTCCACGTCCTACAGTGGGATTCGAACTCTTTTTTTCGTAACTTTAGAGAAGGGGCTATAACCAATGCGCCTCGCGGGCAAAGTACCCAATTTGAACACAATATGAAGTAAAAAGAATCAACGCTTTAAAAATGTGTTGTTTTTTCAGCGTCTAAGTTCAACTACTAATTTGCAATTTTTTTATGATTGAAAGTATATGACAAACTTGCGATTCCTGATCAAAGTGTAACAGTTGACCATTTGTTTGAAATTGCGAATAGGTAACCCTTTTATTTCTGCTGTATTAAGCTTAAAAATTTGCTAAATATTATGAGTTCTTGAACAGGCAAAGCTGTGCTGGGTCCTGGATCTGTGCAAATGTTTTGTTTGTGACTTAACATTATTTCAATGCATATTAAATAATATGTATATATCAATGTTCAACGTTTTTGGCTTTTTGGAAGTTGTTCACATTATTTTTCATGTTATTTGAATGTCTGTAAGAAAACACAATCAGCTGCATAGCGAAAACATACCCTTATATCGTTGACTTTTTATGTTTTTGTAGCCTTTCATATTTTTTTCTTCTATTTTTTAATGTATAAAATGTAGTTGCATGATCAAACTCTACAGAAACCTAATGTATACATGTGTACATAGTGGAATTACATTCGTCAAAAGTTATGCTGTTTAAAAAAATATAAAGTATTTTTTTTTTTTAAGGTGAACATGTATTTCCCACAGCTGGCTTTTTACCTAACTTTATTATCCTTTTTGTAGCCTAGCGCTTGTGCGTAATTATATCAAATTTGAGTGCGCTTAATTTTTTTTTCATTTGTATTCAGGTTGTTATTGTTAGCGTTTTCTGCTATTGTCCTGATTCCATAAAAACATTGAGTGTAGTTCCGAATTGTCCAGAGAATGTCACGGAATGGACGAAGGCGGCGTCAAAGAAGAATTGTTCTTCAAGGACTCAGAACTGTACAGAACCTTCAAATTTCATGTATCATTGCCTCATCAATACATTTCTAGATAAAATGATCGAAGTATGTGCCCCCACAGCATTCATAACAGGTATGTGAAAATCTATTGTTAAAAGAAAACCAATACAGATTGAAGTTCTTGATATACTCTACTGAAAAAAAAACGTCTCAAGCTATGTCACTAGTACATGTAAGATACACAGTAAGTTATATCAAGGATTTTTTGAGAAATTTATTTTAAATAAGTATTCATATGGTACAACTCAAAATCACAAAGAAAATGGGGGTTTAGTGTTTATCTTATGTAGCAACGGTACAATGAAGAGGACCTTTCTGCACTAAACTTGAAACCCTTTGATTAATCAATTAAACCTGTATGATTTTTTTTCAGATATCTTTTAGTGAGTATAAAAAATAATTATTCAAAAAAATATTTTAGTATCAATCCTTTCATGACTTTTAGTGCTGATCGTTTGGAAGTACTTGTATATCCTGTTGTTTAAAATAATGAAAAGAAAAAAATCAGTGTGATAAATATTTAGATAATAGTGAAATTGTGCAGTTTTCCGGCAAAAAGGATGAAAATTTAATCACGACTTCCAAAATATATATTCACTTCTTGGCAAAGTCTGTTTAGTGAATGTGTAAAAGAATGAGTGCTCTTCAGTGCGTCATTTGGAACCTTTTCGGCTACCCATTTTAATCTTTACATTACAATATACTCAGTAATCTATGATTATTGTGCAAGCATGTGCTTTTGATATTTATGCCTGAAATGTTTTGTCATACATGAAGGATATTGAGATAACGAACAGTATTTAATCTCAAAGTCTATAAAGATACAAAATAGGAGAAAAGCAATCGCGGACCTCCGAAACACCAGAGGTGGAATCAGGTACCATGGAGGAGTGAGCATCCCCTGTCGACCGCTCACACCCGCTGTGTGCTCCTTGTCAGGAAATAACGGAAAAATTTATTGTCAATTCAGTGTATAAATAATGGCTTAACAATTAGTATGTAAAATGCCACTCAGCATTTGACTCTGTGATAAATTGTATTTGCTGACAAGGTCATTGTATCGACCATAGAACTTACGAAATAATGAATTTAAACGAGTTTGCTGATATTCTTGTTTTTATCAACTTGCTTGTCAATAAATTACCTCGTTTTAAGAAATTGTTCATACGTAGAGCATGCTCTTCCATATCAAATCAACTGAGATATATACACTCCGTAAGCAGGTGATGAAGGTATATTGCTGCATAAGTAAGGGAATATGACGATAGAAAAGTTAAAGTCATCACGTTTATCATAAAGCTTAGTTTTTAGATTACCATTAACGTCTTTTCAAGTAAAATATTCAGATATGAAACAGATGTGTCAGACTCTGTGGTATCTTTTATCTCAAGCTCACCGGGATATATCGTATCAACGTTGGAATGAAAATTAACTATAAATTATTGTTAATTTACAATACGACATCGATATATCTAAAAGTCGAGTTGAAGGCCAAAGCAAGTGTTTTCTTCTTTTCACGCATTAGATTTTGCACACATTCTGCTTCATATGAATATAAAAATAGGTCTGTTTATAACGGAGCTCAATTAGTACCAATGGGAATTCCAATAGATTGTTGGAATACCTGTCTCCAAAAAACACATAGATATTGTCGATCAGAAACTCAAGCATCTCTTTGATGTCAACTTCACAGTACTTGTGTGTGCAATCAGAATGTGTTATAACAAAATAATTTTGCAAATGACCGATGACCAGATACAAATGTAAGTAAATTTACGAGTTCTTTTTTTATAAAAAAAAAATCAGCAGTCAATTATTTAAAAAAGCCTGGACTTTATTTTATCGTGGGGAATTGTTGTGTAATTCTAATTAATGAGAAATGAATGAAAATGTCATTGAAAAATACATGTATAAGCCTTAAATTCCATAAATTTGAACATGATCTTTATCGAATTTTAGATGCCCGCAAATTGGCGAGACATTTAAATCGCGTGAATGTGGAATGTAAACAATAGCACATATGATTTTTTTTCGCAATCAAATGCTACACTACGATTTAAATGATGAAGAGAAAGAGAGAGAGATTGTATAGTTTCATGGAGCACAAATAATAAATGATTCTAGTGTTTAAGGATGGTGTAGATGTATCGCTTTGCAGACGATAATACAGAGGCAACATGGGCGTTTATCTACTAAACTCTCTACCAATCTAGAAATCTTTCAAAACACTCCTTACGAAAAATACAAAGTTAAAGAAGAGACATAATCTTCGAACCTTATTAAAATTTATGCAAAAATCTTCCATAGTTTGAAGATGGAAGTACAATAGATACTGTCCGAATAGAAACTTCAATTTACAAACACAATGAAATGTTCATTGAAAGTGGAATGTCACGTGAGTAAAGTGATTATCACATTTATCGTTGACACTCGGGGACCTGTTAATTTAGTGGATCTGAGCCGCAACTTGGCCAACATTGTCCTTTGGATATGTACAAGTTTAAATTAAAATAAACATTCTGTGCAAATGAGACCAATGTGAAACCAAAGTTGCGGCTCGATGTAAGCAATGTCGTTGAAAACTGATATGCATATGAATAAAAATAGAAATGTGACAAAACTGTTAAACCCCTGTCTCAAATGCTAGTGTCGCACGGCATTATTTAGTACTTTCAAGTAATATGATACACCAAAACCTGCTCTTGAGACATTGAATATTACCTACAAAAGATAAATTTAATGAAATTTGGTATTTTATTGTGTGCAGAACACCGGGACCCATCTATCATAGCTTAAGTGCACTCATCCTTTATTCTAAATATAAATAATAAAAAAAAATTGAGAACTATATCTAATATTCATACATTGCATTTTTTAAAATTAATTGTTGAGTAAGATCAAAGTATGGTTTTCATACAAATCTTGCCCTGTGATTGTATAAAAAAAAGAGAAACTGGGTGTAAAAGATGATAACTCATGCTTTCTGAATCACTGGAATTCCATACAGAAAAATCATATAAATCATTTTTCTCACATGCGTTTTTAAATGCTAACTGTGACGTCATAAACGTGCATTTTCCCATATTTTCTTAAAAAGTTGCAAAAGACAGCAATTTTCAAAGGAATTTTCTTTCAGATAATATTGTCTACAGGCATCGCCCACGAGGATTTCGAGATATGTAATTTTTTATTGACTTTTGCACAACATATCAAAAAATTAAAGTGGATGACGGCTGTGGACACTCTATTCTTAAGGAAAATTAACCTTGAATTGGGCCATTTTGAGGCTATTTCTTTTGAAAATAGAGAAATGGTCGTCACATTAATAACGTCATATTTTAAGAATGGTAATCCTTCATGGTATATTCTTTCCTGATTTATCACAGTCATAGACTAAACAATTATTTAACCCAGTTTCAAAACGTTTGGATGACATCACATTTGACTGTGCAATAAAGCCAAACCCATACTTTCTTTGCATTTTTTTAAATTCAAATATATGTATGTTATAAAAATTAAATTGTAGTCAATGGTTCTGAAGTTTTGTAAATAGCTGAGGAGTGACTTATCTTAAAACATGAGTTTGGCATACATCTTGGTGTAAAAATGAATATTAGTATTGATTAACGTGTTTATTTTACTTTGTTTCTAAAAATATATATGCAATATATATCAAACAAATTTTTCTTAATAAATTTAAAAAGAGATTTTTGACAAATGAAAAGAACAGACAATTGGCTATAATTACATCATTTTGTATGGTCTCAGGCCATAAGCCACTAGGTTAGCTTAATCAGTCATAAAGTACAAATATGCAAAATCCTCAAGATGTACCCTTCTACCCATACATTGTATGTATTCAGAATAAGAAGGTGAAGACATCAAATGTTGATTGACCAAAATAAAATTAATAAGCAATGCACATATGCTATCAGGGCATAAAATAGGGACAGCTATTAATACTAGAGTATAAATGATGTTTATAAAAGTAGTGAGCATCCTTTGTTGACCAGTCACACAAGCTATGAGGCCTATTTATTGATCAGGTAGACGGAACTTTTCGTCAAATAAGTAAAAAACAAAGGTCAAAAAATGGTCATGGAAAAAGTCAGTTAATACGAACTAACAATAGTCAGCTTATTATATCAATATATAAACGAAAAGGAATTGAAAAATAAATTTATATTTAAGACCAGAAATAAAAGCATAAATTTAATTCAAATCAATCAGTGGTCAATGGACAATTTGAGCAATGGAATCTAAAATAAAGATGAAAAGTTAACTTTTCAACAATAAACTGATTTCTACTTTTTACCTAGTCACCGTGTTCAGGTAAGCTAAGTGGTCCATGAGTCTCCCGCTATCTATAATATCTGTATTATTATCTGTTGCCTATTTGGATATTTACTTAAAGTCAAGAAGACGTTAATTTTAATCTACCAGCCATGCTTTATGATAAACTTGATGACTTCAGTTTCACAATCACCATCTTCTCTTTTTCACTCCAACAACAACATTCAAACCTTCCTCAATTGCATACGGAGTTTTATTCTCTGTTAATCTGATACGAAATAGCATGCTTTACGTATGAACAGTTTCTTAAACGAGGTAAATTATTGAAAACAAGTTGATGAAACAACAATATCAGCACTCTCGCTTAAAGTAACTGAATACAGTAAAACTCGGTTATAATTAAGTCACTGGGACCTGAGAAATTACTTCGCTTTATCCGTAATTCGTTTTATTCGTAAAAGAATTTGTTAAATTTATAAAGCTGGGGATCAAAATAACTTCGCTATATCGGTGAATTCGCAATATCCGTGTTCGTACTAAACGAGTTTCACTGTATACTGAATTGATTATGAATAAGCTTCCTTATCACCATACAGTTATACATTTGTATGTTTAATCCATATTGGCAAAATCATATCAGAGCAAATGTATAAGTGTAAAGAGAAAACGCCTTAAGGATGTCTTCTTATGATACGCAAAAAAATTAAACTTTCCAAAGCTTATATTTTTCTGAAAGTGATTATTCTAAGGAATGATCATCTAACTAAAGAGAGATTCAACCCCTCGAACATGGGCCAAAATAGAGCATGGGAAATTTCATTAAAAATGCTATTAGACCATAAAATACCCCCCTAAACTTATAAATACAACCAAATTAAACTTAATTTTGCTTAGATTTACTTGAAAGTCTTGCAAAGTTGATTTTTTAAGTAGAATATGAGCAAATAAATACAAATTAAATAACTTGTACCCAGAAATGTTGTTCACCAGTGTCAAAATTAGGCAAATTTTCCCCTATAAAATTGCTCGAAAAACTAAAGAAAAACATATTTCTACGATTAAACTTTTTTTAGAAAATTGTTGTAAAGTTTCTGTAGGTATTATGGCTTTTTTTCATAGCATGAAAAATAGGGGTTAGTGTACATATAAGAAAGTTTTGATATTATTTATATCACCACCCCCCCCCCCATTTCTTTTCAGAATTTAATGAAAATAAATCAAGGCATTTAGGCGTCAGAATGTGTGTTTTTATTCACCAAATATTCAAAATTAGTGTGATAGTTTCAGATAATAATAGCAATTTTGTTAAGAAAAGCTTTTTATGAACAAAAAGTAATCTATTAAAACATAAAACTTCATAATAGTTTGTTAGATGTCCCCTCTTTCTTTTGCCCTGCGGGTTCCGATTGGGTCCTAGTTTGGATGGTGGCTTCCCTGAGATTAGTCAAATCCAGTCCCTCTTTCTCAATCTGATTTGCATGGTTTCCTCCATCTGATTTTAGTGGTTCTAAAACTCTGCTCTCTTCTGAAGTTCTTCATTTGTGATTCTTGTGACAAAATTTACCTGAAAAAAGTATTTTAGAGAGAAAAAAAGATTATAATCACTGGTAATATCATTATTCAAAAAATGTAAAATCATTATTTTGTCTATCTGTTTTTGTTTTTATGAACCCAAGCCTGTGGTTTAGAATCAAATTATTTCTACATGTTCTATGACGTGTCAGAAATATTCCATGTTTTAAACCCACATAGGGCGCCATAGAATGAAGAGACCTAGTTTCTTATCGGATGTAAACAGCTAATTAGAGATGTTATCTTATTATTTTCGTACGGTATGTCTATAAATTTGGGATTGATATTCTGCATTTACAATATCAAAGAAAATTTATAATATTATATGCTAAGAGCTACAGTTGCAAAAAAGGTAATACGAATGCTGTTGTCTGCACGCATCTGAAGACCCCTTAGGCCTTACGTTCCGTACATGCATGCAACATATTAATGCTACGTTTCAGTTTGCGACGTGATAGTATATAAATAATGCCTGTTTTGGAGGGTAACAGTTGAAATTGACACCCCAAGGAAAACCATTGTCAACCGACGCGTCAGTGGAGGTTGACAATGGGTTTTTTTCCGAGAGGTGTCAATTTCAACTGTTACCCTCCAAAACAGGCACCATTTATTTTATTATACTGAATGTCTTCTAGATTTACAATGTCAGCAATACAAATCGTCGATCTCCTTTTCGTTCACGTTTAGAAAGCTTTCAAACTCCCCGCTACTTCGAAAAAGAGTTACTGACATCTTTATTGTTTATTTGATACTCTACGAGTCCTTTATCATCTAAAGTTTCGTTATTTCTGCACCCGCACGCATTTTTCGTATGTCGTCTGTTGTTTTCAAGTAAGTTATATCGGACGCAGGTTTTTTTGACGTCAAGTTTATTTCGGTTCTTTCAAACGTGCAACTGACGTTTTGAGAATTCTACAATCAACCGTACGCGCATAATTTCCACGCATGTCGCATTACCGTTGTGTTACCCGTTATCACGTGTGTTGCTAAGGCTGAGGGTAATAAAACAGATTGTTAACTGCGTCTAAACCAATCAGATTTTAGTATTTAACATGAAAGTATATTAATATACTAATGTTTTTTGAAACTTTTGTATCTATAATGCATACACATTGCTATTTTCAATAAGTTTGAAAGCATTGTAAACCTACATTTCCGCTTTTCCACTGCTACTGGAACATCGTCAACATACTTAGGCGCTCTTGGCTGGCACATTTGGGTTTGCTATCGCGAATGTACCTGTATGCCTAATTGTGAAATCGGCATTTTTTTCAAATGTTCAGTGGGTAAAAAGGATACAAAAAAAGTCGTGTGCTGTCCTCGATGTTTTGAGTCGCAACATTTTTAATCAGTCGGTCAGGTACGGAAGTCCTGGAGGGAAAATGAGTTACTTGTTACGACTTATTTGTTTGTTTTTTTTTATTTATTTATTTGTTGTGAATGTTTCGTAGCTAGAGATAACTAAGTGTAAGAAGGCTATTGAAACCTGTTGCTTCGGTAACTTGATAATACTGGTAATAATAATGTTTAGTCCTATATTAACCGTGGTTTTTGGTTGACGAATTGTAGTTTAACGTATAGTATACTGTTGTGATTTCTAATGTAAACATTTTTTTGTTATTATAACTTTAAGTTCTTATTTCCTAAAAGTTATTACTTAATTCTTATATGTAACTTCCAGTTTGCATAATGATTGAAAACAAGAACAAGACTAACTATTTTATCTTGTCGTTAATAATAAATTCAAGGACCTTTTTTCTTTCTTTCTGAAACTATACTTTGCCTTCATCATTTATGCCACTTTTTGTGAAGTAAACTTGTCATAACAAATTAAAAAATTACAAGAATTCAAAGTTAAATCATAAGAACTAAGTCAAAACACATAAGAACTAAGTCAAAAGTTAATATCCCTCAAGTACGGAAGCCCTGGAGGGACATTGACTCACTTGTTATGACTTATTTGTTATACCTTTTTTGTTTTGACTTATTTGTTGTTAATGTTTCGTAGCTAGTTATAACTAAGTGTAAGAAAGCTATTGGAAACCTGTTGCTTGGCTTACTTTTATGATAGAAATGATATTTAGTCCTATTTTAACTGTGGTTTTTGATTAACAAATTGTTGTTTAACGTCCAGTACAGTTGTGATTTCTAAAGTAAATATTCTTTTTGTTGTTATAACTTAATTCTTATTTTCAAAAGTTATTACATAATTCTTATATGTAACTTCCAGTTTGCATGATGATTGACAAACTGACAGTCACTACTATGTATTTCATTTTGTCGTTACTAATAAATTCAAGGACTTTTTTTCTGAAACTATACGTTGTCTTCATCTTTCACGCCACTTTTTGTAAACTAAACTTGTCATAAACAATTCAAAATAACAATAATTCAAAGTTAATTCAGAAGAACTAAGTCAAAATACATAAGAAATAAGTCAAAACACATAAGAAATAACTCAAAACACATAAGGAATAAGTCAATATCTCTCAAAGGCGTCCGTAATTAACAGATGAACATTTAGTAATCATATCGGTTTTGTACGTTTAACTACAAAACTACAATCAATCGTTCTCAGTAACTTACCTTCACTTAGTTAGAAGTATCAAAAAACAATCTCATAACAAATAAGTCAAAACAAAGAAGTTATAACAAATAAGTCATAACAAGTAAGTCAATGTCCCTCCAGGGCTTCCGTACTCAAGGGCGTCCGTAATTAACAGATTAAAAAAATTAGTAATCACAGTTTTCCATATGTACGTTTAACTACAAAACTACAAATAATCGTTCTCAATAGATTACCTACATTAAGTTAGAATTAACAAAAAAAAATTTCAAAACAATTAAGTCAAAACAAATAAGTTACAACAAATACTAAGTCACAACAAGTAAGTCAATGTCCCTCCAGGGCTTCCGTAGTACGAATAGGACGACCAAACAAATTTTAAAGATGGCCTAAAGTTTTTATCTTGATTGATTTACCGGTATCATGGTATTAGTGCATAAACCATAGAACTTGACTTCGAACTATGAACAACCCTCGATTATATCTGTGAAAAATTGTTTTGTCTTTGTTATCTGATCAAATGTTAAACTATTTAAATCTAACGTTCATTGCTTCAAATATCTTTTTAAAGATTTCTGTTGTGAATTTAACACTCGTGGAGCTGTTATCCAACGCAATTATCGTGCTGACTGCAGAAATTTTCCTATAAAACCATGTGACAAGCCCTATTTTTCATATGAAGTTTATAAACGTAAGTAATTTTTTCTTGCTCTGATGTTTCATTGTGTCATGCAATCAACAAATAATACTCGAAAGATCTTTTAATTTATAATTAAGTGATAGGGTAGCATACATAAAGCACTTTCTTTTATGAACGGAGCTTTGTTTGAATGTCTTTTTAATTTTCTCGTTATACGTTTACTCTTAATATGCAATTTCAATTTAAAAATGCAGGGAATTGTTCGATATCAAACGGTGACCAATATAAATCGCAGACACTCAAGAAAGATGGTGCAAATAAGTCCTACACTCCTGAATTGCAAGCCTTATGAAAAGAATCATTCAAAATTTATATTTTTCATTTTTATGACATTACTTATTCGTTAAACGTCTAGTATTACTCACATGTATTGATAATGGAAGAAGCTATTTTATTTCTTTTATCGTTCGGGGTATCATTACATACCTTTGAACGTATTTTCGAACTGACCTTAAAATTTGACCCAAATATTCTCACTGTCAGCAACGCATAATTATAGATGTTTCACAAAATATTAAATGAGAAGACAGATATTTTACTACAATTTTTTTAAATTTCTTTTTTTTAATACAATGGCTATTTACTCATGTGCATGTATGTCATAAACGTTTACGTCTTCTGAATGGTGCATTTTAAAAAAGAAACTCCTATTTTAAGTCGTTTATGCTCTCTGCAGTTTGTCAGTATTTGAACAGAATTTTTTTTAAAGTACAATTTTCATAGTGATTTTGTTCTGCCATTGCAGTTCTTTAAAAACATAAAATTATGTAACAGTTTTATTGTTTCTCTTGTAAAGCACTATCTCCTTTTGATATAATGATTTTATCTACTCTCAAGTTTATATGGTGTTTGTAAAAGGGAATAAAGAGATCGTTTTGTTACATACCTAATGTGTATCACTCAATTTTACTGTTGAATTTACGCTATCACGTGACGTCGTGATCCGATTTTCCGGAGACCAACATGTTGTTTTTTGAATCCATATCACCACTCTTTGAAACTGATGACGTAGTACGCAGAAATATGACGTTATTTTTCCTGCGCATTATAAAGTCCTTTGTTATTATGCTTTGTTTAATGGATTATTATTATCCAATTTATCTCTAAAGATTTATTTTAATATATTTAGCCTGTTATAAGGGGGTATATAATAAATTTATCATTTTAACAGTAACTTGATCCGAAGAGCCGTATCACGTCTCGTTGACAGGCGCGGATCATCAGATCAAACTCGACGCTTCGCGTCTCGTTTGATCTGATGATCCGCGCCTGTCAACTCGACGTGATTCGACACTTCGGATCAAGTTACTGTTATAATAATATATATATATCAATCAGTGTTTTTAGCGGGTGTTAGTAGAATTTATAAAAAAAAGGTGCAAATTCAGCGATCAGTATTTTGGCAGGCTACTTTGCAACTGCTAAAAAAGTCAGAAATATAGCCTCACTAAAAATTTTGCTATATGGTAGTTATTAACACACCTTCTTAAAGACAGTTTATTCCTCGAAGTAGTGTGATCCTCTTAAGCACGTGCACAGTATTTTAAAAGATACTAGCAACTGTAATGATGATTTTATTATTCAGTGATATGAAACCTTTTATATATTACCGAATCATTTTAGATCCTGAGTGCTATGCATTAATAAAGAATCCTTCGGAAAGGGGAACCACGGAAATGTCCACACACATAACGTGAGTTTTGGTTATCATAATTATGATTATTTGGTATTTTACAGAGGATTATTGCAAAGATCACAGAGATCACAGAGTTGCTGCAGCCATTATTCTCCAATAAACCACAAACGTCACCAAACAATTATCGATAATTTTGATTCGGGTTCCTCTTATTTTGACTCGTGGCTTTCATTAGGTAAAGGGTAAAGGTCTATTTTCATAGTGACCCAAATTGCTGGAATACTTAACAAACCGCCATGCAATCAAATTACACTAGGCGGAGCTAGTAACTACACTTCTTCAATATCGTTTATTTATTGCAAAAGTCCATGAAATCAAAATTTTTATAAACTTTAACAACTTTCTACGCCCCATAATGAAGACAAATCACATTACATGCTCCCACCACAAAAAAGAAGTAAATTTAATCGTTCATGTTAACCTGCCACTTTAACTGGGACATACATGTATATAGTATATGGACTGAAGGTTTTAATTTTCCTTTTGAATACATAGTACAAACCTTAAAAATCTATTTGTAACTACATATGTATGTGCATTTCGTATGTCGTGTTTCTATGAAGAGCAAAAGGAAGCAGTTATCCACGAACAGTTATAAAGTGATAATTTTTTTTCTACTGTAACTTGGCTTATTCCAATAAACGCCTCAATCTTTATTTTTAAGATCAACAATAAGTGGCAATGAAGACGGTTTTCTTGATTTCTCGGATATTTTACCTATCATCTTAGCCTTAATATCTGTCACCACCTTTATATTAGCTGTCCGTTTGTTGCTGTGGAAAAAAAGAGGTACAGATTTCATTTCAAGTCAAATAAAAAAAAATACGAGCACTTTCTTGTAGTCGAATTGAAAATTAATAGCGTAGATACACATTAAAAACTTTCTGCAATGAATGTCTGAATTTATGTCCTTACACACACTGTTAATTTAGAAAACATAATCTTTTCTGTATTTTCAGCAAAACAGAACAGAAAGGAATCCTCGTCTTCTTCAGATTTGGTATTTATCCTGAAAATTTATTTTACACATATTAATGGCTATGAGGACAATAGCAAATTTGTTGTTCCTCGAGACAACAACTATTTTCCATGGCGTAGCCGATAGAAATAATTTTTTTTCGAGTGGGTTGATAGCCCTGCTCTTGTCCAAATAGTCAGTAAATAAGTAGTTATATTATTATGTTCCCCAAACGAAGTTGGGGAACATATTGTTTTTTACGCTGTTTCTTATTAAGGTCTTCCGTCTTCACGGAAGACCTTATAGTGATTCTACTGTTTCTTATTATTATTATTATTATTATTAAGGTCTTCCGTCTTCACGGAAGACCTTATAGTGATTCTACTGTTTCTTATTAAGGTCTTCCGTTTCCAACGGAAGACCTTATTGTTTTCGTTCGGTTTCTTTTTCCCTATTATTATTAGGGTCTTCCGTCTCCAACGGAAGACCCTTCTATTATTCTATTGTTTCTTTTTCACTTTTATTATTATTATTATTATTATTATTATTCTTTTTCTTCTTACAATTTTTGTGCAGAAGATTTCTCGGAGATGGCTCGATCGATTAACTTGAAATTTTCAGGAAAAGTGTGTCGTCAACTGAACCTGATCCGTTTTTCTTATTTTTTCGAAAATCACTTCCGGTCGGAAGTTATTGCCCTTTAATCAAAATTTAGAGGACCTCCTTGTCATCACCAGAACTCAAGAACGGCTAACGCTAGAACACTGAAATTTTTACCAAAGATAAAGGACATGTTGTCAAGATGCACAATGGTTTTCAAATTTTCCGGAAATGCCTAGTATGGAAGCTCGGTATGGGTCAAAATCTAGGACACGTATCATGACTGAATTTTTGAGACATTTTGCATCATATCTTTTAAAATATAATTATTTTGTTAAAATATACTGAGCAATATTTGTGCAAAATGACAAGATCTTTAATATGATATCAAGAAAAAAGTGCTGACTCATCACATTAGGGGCCGAGAGGGGCCAAAAGTATTTATTCGATAACTCTTTAACAGTCAATATTTTGTTATTATTTACTGAAGCAAAAATGTTTATCTAAACAATCTACAACTATATATTACAATTTGAGTGTCATGAGGTGCATAATAAGGGGCCATAAGGGGCCAGAATGCTAAATCTTTGACGCTTTATATCTCAAAAGAGGGAAATATTTTGATAAGTAATATTGAACAAAAGATGTTCAAAATAATGTTCTGAACAATATGCAACTTTTAGTT